TTCTTTAGGAGTTTGTCAATTTTTATACCGATGAGTTATTTGTTGATTCTACTCGTATCTTGTTGCAGGTAAACCGATTAATAATTTAACTACACTCTCTGAATTGGCATTTGTGAAGTATGTCTCCAGATTTTACGAGATAGAATTGTTATAAATGGAGCAGATGTCGGTTCCTAATTTGCAGTGGACAAAAGTCACAGGCTTCGATGATCAGCCTTACTTCATCCTATTGTATGACGTATTCGCACGTTAAGTGTTCTTGGACACTGGGGTGTAATTCAGTTATCATTTTAACGTTTAGCCATTCATTGTGAACTTCGCTTTGGTACACTTTGGATGATAGTAAGAAATATGTTCAGAGCTTTAAAGATAGTTGGAGCTGTACAGTTATCTGGCTTATGTTAAATAACGTTATTAAATATCACACTATTCCTCATATCAGCTAAGAGAACTTAGTCCAGATGCAATATACATGCTTTTTCCATAATGTCTTCTCTGTTAAAGACAATATGACCAACAAAATTTAGATACAGGCGCTGGGCTACCTCTACTCTCATTGGCGTACTTACAACAGCCACACACCTCTCACGTAAGCATTGCGTTTACTAACGGTATCACAAGTATTCTGAGACAGTATTTAAGAGCAAGTAGAAAGGTTTCTGTACAATATCGAATTTCGAAAAATTAGAAACATTTAGTTGTGAATCATCAGCGCTTGTATCTGGTCAGTTAATCGTTTATCCTTGTTCGGTTCTGAATTTGTATTGGTGTCGTTATTTCCGGGCATACGATGTCTTTTGGCATTGTATGTGCATCATTTAACAAAAGCATAGGTTTCCGAAATAATCGTCGATACGTGTTTTACAACACTTCACAGAATCGGCCTCTATTAATTCTTCTGGTAGTGTGTTCCATAAGTTTACGATTCTTCGTTCGATACAAATCTGATGGGATACCTTGTTCATGCAGCGGACCCTGAGTTTGATAGGTTCCGACTAACTTTCCGCCATTTGACGGCTTTAGAGGGTCGCCTGTACCGGGAGCCCGGAGCGATTCGAAAAGACAGGTCGAGTTGCAGGGAAACTTTTATTGGTACAGTAAAAGCTACCCTGTTGTCTAGCTATAAAGGAACGACACCGTGGACGCTCTAGCTAGGGGAACAAAGCAAGCACAACACACAGGACAGTCGCAAATTGCAACCGAAACGAGCGCCAAGCAAAAATGGTGATGAGCAAGTCAAACATTCGAACTCAGCAATCAGTCCAACAAACCACATCGGTTGTCTAGGTGTACAATGAAATAATTTTAGTTAGAATTTTACACAGGCAAACCGGGGAATCTCCAGAATGCTACACTGCTTCTACTCCGTTGGTGTTCTTCAAAGTCAGTTTGTGGTTGCAGCACGCAACTGACTTCATATCAGTTTAATAGACTTTCATTGTGGACTTTACAGTTACGCGATTGGTTTCCATAACATAGCTCTCTAACAATAAAGAGTATTGACACCTAAAAGAAAATTGAAACGGTTGAGCAAACCTTGGTTGCTATTATACGACTGATAATGAGAAAAGTGTGTAGAACTGATGGCGCTTGTATTTAAAAGTAAGCGACTTAGTGAATATTTTTCGACTAGTCCGATACGTTATGTCAGCGAGGGTTCGAGCTTCTGGTGCCAAGGATCATCTGGCCACCGTTTACAGGAAAGGCACACATTTCTCCGGTTCAAACTCTCATTTAACTACGTCATAAAGTTTTACTAATCAAACTTATGAGTACCCAATGAGGTTTACACAACTGGGCGCATTTTTATGAGCTACAATATGGGTGCTATAATTAAGTAAGCAGGAGGGTGCCATAGATAAATTCCAGTTTAAATTTTCCGCTAGTTTTTCGGATAGTAATAACACAGTGCTTTTCATTCAGCTCGTTTCAGTCTCGCCTAAAAAGACACTAAACTACTCCGTCAACAGGTATACGAAGAGCTGCTCTAAACCACACAGAATATTCATGTTTACTCGAAGATTGAGCAAGGTGTTTGTCATTTGTATTACCAAAATCATGCTCCTTAGAAGGCAGACTATAATGCACGACTACTATTATTTAGAATCGAGCCTTCTGGTATAGTATTCAACGAACCAGATTATACACTGATCTTTCTGCATGGCTACATGCCATACGTGTAATTTTCGACTATCCCCTCAGTTCCGTCATTTTCCGGAAGACCATACACTCGTAAGCCGGATGCAGAAACAGTCAGCTTTGAGTTGCCACATGCATCCACGTCACGCCCACTTATCATTATTAGGCACCGGTAATTTTTGCACAAAAATGTTTTCCTATTCGTCTTGCTGTTCGCGATAGATGCTTTTGAAAGGTGTGCATAAGCGGAACACCGAGCCCGCGAGCAACCGCATTATCAATCGTACGGGACCAATGTGAGATCGGAATAAGTTTAGCGGAGTCAGTCTACAGGTGAAATCGATAAGTCTGTGCAGTTTCGAAATGTCCTGATCAGTGCGCCAGTTAACGAGTCACCTACACCTTCTATGTGTCTTGTTTGTGCTTTACCCAGAATAACCGATATCTATTGAACAATTAGTGGTATGAAGCAATCCTACGATCACCGGATTTATCATCGCCCCAGTTATTGATCTTTTACCTGATCAATCTGGCCAAACCCTTGTTTGCACTGCATAAATCTAACATTTATCACTTTAGTTTAGCTATGAAACATGTTACCTCACATTCAGAATCGGGCGAGTTTCGCCACTGTGTAACTCCAGTGGAAGCAAGTAACGTTTGTTGGCATCTTTTAGCTACTCGCATTGTTTGATAGAGGAATTTTTGCATGCTCAGGAAGTCAATTTAATTGCTGTAAACGACAGACGCAAATGCCATTGTTTGACGAAGTCTTCATTCCTAGCCTAGTAATATTTGGTTTCATTTTATAAATCACGGTCTTAATTACATACGTAAAAATTCATCCGATAGTTCGCCGGTTTCCGCAAGACTACGTTTCTGCGCTGTAGTTCTGAGGTCGCCAGTTCGAATCTGATTAGATGCGGACGACTTCGCAGTACATTAATCCCACACACGACTGTTGGTGATCGCTGGCTAGCTAAGCATCGGCGAAGTGTACCGGCGTGCTGCTGATATCTTTAGTTTCTTGTGGTACTGCTCTACCATAGACAGTGCAGCAAAATTTAGCATGATATGAGGATTGACAAAGTAGCATCAGATTTCTAGATCACCAATTAATTTTCACTCTTTCGCTCGCGTAAAACTTAACGTTTGCCTTATAGTGAATTGTCCGCAGTAAAGTTAAGAGTAAGGTATATTGTACGGCACTCATTGAGCGTTGATCTACAACTATAAGCGTCACATTTAGTTAAGGATAACAAGTCGATGCGGGTAAATCAACCGAAGTCGAATAATAGGTTAATGTAATCAGTAAGTTCCAGTTTTCAATCCATTTTCACCATTGATAATTTATATCCGTGACCGTTAGACTGAAGTGGCGTGCATCAGTGTCGACCGTGGGCCCTTTTATCCCATTGTACCTGATTCACCCTAATTGGTAAGAATGCCGTAGTAAAACGATGGATCAAAAATTACGTTTGCTTGACAGGTCTGGTAGGGTTGTCAGCTAACGAAACGCAAACGCAAAACAGCTGAATGGTGACATATCAGAAGCAAGCTTGTCAAAATGGGACAGAATACCATGCAAAACAGTGCCACAGGTTAGTCTCCTTAACACTACAGGTAAAGATCAATCGGATTGCGCACTGGTCAGAGTGCATTATGATTCCATGGAATATGGTTCACATTAATACATTCTATAGTATTCCCTCATGTACCAGAATGTTGGGAGTTAACTGCTGTATACAAACGTTGTTTTCAAATGGCTAGTGTTGAAACACAAATAACTAAGCTAGGATGAGCGTACTGAGGGTGGCAAGACGGAACTGAGAAGTGTGTTCGTCGATAATCTAGCTGCATGTAAAGTTTAATTAATTTCAAGCTACTACCTCTCAAGTTAATGTTTGGACTGGATATCAAAAAGCACAGGCAAGCATGACTTTGAATGCTCAGTATTTGGAGAGCGATTATAAAGTTTTGCCGTATCCGCCAGTTACGTTCTCAAAATACGCAGTGTTTCCTTAATCCTTCCTGGTGCTGAACGTAGCATAAACCCTTGACATTCTTCCTTGACCAGAGTTTTGGGGTCTCGAACGCTGTAATCTCACACCTCAACCATGGTCGCAAAACCTCGTTAATGTGTTCGACATGGGAACGCATGAAGACACTAAGTATCAGAGAGAAAATGAGTGAATCCGCACTCCCAAGTGCTCTCCGTAAGATACCAACATGTTGATCACCCCTTTCTGAAACGAACAGTGTCTGAAACAACCGAGGTTCTCCTGTACACCAGCACACCCGGGTCTCGTCCCTGACAGGTGGTCTGCAGCTAGTGCATCCCAGACTTGTACGTGTAGGATGGATCCCTAGATTATGAATGCTATGTGCATTGAACTAATCCTACTGGAGAATCATTAGATATTCATGTCTTCCAGGGACTTTGCCTCCATGAGCAGCCTTGAAGTGCATGCCAACCTCTTTAACTCAATTTTCTTCAATTTAATTTAATTTGCTACGTTGCAACGCACTTTCCAGGCGTTATGATTGGTGTAACTTTATGCTCATTTAATTATAAATACTTTTTAGTGTGTATGGTTCACTGGATTTGTTCTAAGCCTCAAATTGACAGCTACAGCGTGCACTGGAGGACTGAGAAGTACCTCATACATGATGATTTATTATTTAAATATGCATCCTGACTTCCTTTGCTCACTCAAATAGTAGATCTGCGTTATTGGTTTAAACCTAGGAGGTTATATCAATTAATTTGTAAATGCTTTTATTTTAGGCTACTTTCGCAACAGAAACTTCCGTGAACACACATCACGTTTTCCAACAATCGACCAACTGGTTGACCCATTATGTTACCGGAAGAAGAGCAACCTTTTGTCGGCAAGCTGTATCGTAGACGTTGGGCTATGCTGTTCCTGTTCGCTTTGAGTTCTGCATGCAACGCATATCACTGGATACATTTGAGCATTATATCGGATCGTGTGCTTTTTGTCTGGGGTGCATCTATTCCAGGTGAGTAGTGAACGGCTTGTTCCACCGAAGTGTCCACCACCACACCGAGTCTGCCTCTCTCTTTCTCTTGTCTTTGGGTTCTGACTGATGGAGTGGCCGATGATAGCAGATATTACAATAGCGACTAACACGAATCTCATAATGTAGGTGGTTTCTTCAAAAGCCGTTGCGTAACAAAAGTTGTTCGGACATGTGCAACGGTTAATTTTTCCCGCTCTGAACACATTCGGTTTTATCTGATACAAAACCAGTCAATGCTTTCCCAACTAGTAGTTTTGAAACAGTTTGCGGATTGGGAAATTACTTCAAGACATTTTTCTTTGACCAGTTACGCCCAATATCTCAACAGGACACCGCAAGTATACTGCTGATGATGCGGTTTACCGTGTAGAGTTTTGGAGAGCTTGAGAATACGATGTATGAATGACCTAATTACTTGTAACTTTCATGTAGCCTTTCATACAAATCATAGACCCACTCCACTTCTTTGCGGAAAAACTTTTTCATGATTCGAAATAATTTGGAACACTGGTAGCCCGGCTTGGTTGCTCACCCGTTGATCGTTTTTCCGAGCTTGGTAAAGAGATCGCATACGTTTCACCACCATGCGAGGTGGCATCTTCAGTGCGGTAATATGCACTGTATAATGCTACTTATTGAACTGTCAGTCCGTCATCCACTTTTGAAGGTGACGATTTCGATTTGCGCCACGTGATCTCTGCCCATTTGCTTCCACGCCTGAACTACGTCTTGCGATTCGCCGTGATTAGCCGTGAATTCCGCACAACCCTTGGCCTATTGGGGCTTAAGCTGTTTTCATTTCACCATTGCATCCTTCTAGCTATGGTTCAGGGGTCCGGCATTGACAATCACCTCCTAGGGTGGATTAGCAGCTTCCTCTTGCACAGGCATTTGGAAGTGAAGTTCACGAATCTTTATCGAATCCTATACAATTGGAATGCGATGTATTCAAAGGTTCAGTATTGTGGCCCCGTCTGTTCCTACTTTCCATGAACAATCTAGTAAACCTAATCACTTCACATTGTTCGTTTTACGCCGACGACCTCAAAGTTTTGAGGCCGATCAAAGCTCTGGACGACCGGACATGATTTCAAAACGATCCCGAAAAGATGTATGAATGGTCGGTCTACAACCGTATTCATTTTGACTTGACTTGAGTATATGTCAACTACTCCGTCTACGACAATAAATGGGTTTGCTTTCTACCAGCTACTGCTACTTTACTGCTATCAATCCCGCACTGAAGATACCACCTCGAATGGTGGTGAAACGTTTGCAACCAAGTTGCCCAGCTCGGAGAACTCCACAACAACTGAGCAAGCCTCCCGAGCTACCAATATTCCAAATCATTTCGAACAATAAATGGTTCACGCCTATAAGCTGTGCGATAAGGATCTCGAGCACTGTCTCCGAGAGGAAGATTTCGGTATATTAATTTAGGAAGACGTCGCTCTATCGGAGGAATCTGTGCTAGGAGCACAAAGCGGCACCCAAAACTTAGGGCTCTTAAGGTAAGCTTTTGGTCACTTTGACCCAGATATTTTTCTTCAGCTGCTTTCGGCGTATACATGCCAGCCAGTAGGACATGTGAAATCAATTCCTCGTGTCTGGCTGTGCCGACGATTATGAGACCTATACAAGCGCAATCTAAGCAAAAGCGTGAAAGTGTCGGCAGTTCGAAGGGCAGCTTGCAACCGAAACGAAGACGACCCCCAAGAAGATCTTTGTTCACATGAAGCGGCGCCTGAGTCCTGCAAGTGACAGCTGTGTTAGAAGGCACTTACGGAAGCATCTAACCTGCTGCACTGAACGTGTGTCCGCATTGACGAAACACTTCGCTACCGTATTTACAAGTGGGCATGCGCCTACGCCAAGCTCGACGTGTGCAGCCCCTACTAAACTCGATAATCTGTATTGCAGTGTAGCAGATGTCCGCAGTCTACTCGCCAGTCTTGACGGCACGAAACCTGCCGGACCCGATGGACGTCATCCGCTTATCTTAAATTGCTTATCGGCCATCATATCACCTGCTGTGGTGGATTTGTTTAGCAGCTTGCTATCCGAGAGTGCATTGTCTAGCGACTGGAAATGCTCGGTAGTGAAGCCGATTCCTAAAGGCGGTGACCTAATCAATGGGGATAATTACCGGCTGATTTGTCTCACCTCTGTTTTGGCGATGGTGCTCGGGAAGATTGTTCAAAAGGTCTTCTCCAGCTGTTAGAGTCGAACGATCCCCTAACGCCGGTACAGCATGGCTTCATGAAGAGCCGCTCATGCATCAGCAACCTGTTGTTGACGCGGCAGGAATGGTTGCAAGCGTTGAACCGAGGGAAATCAGTGCATGTTATCTACATTGGTTTCAGTAAAGCTTTCATCAAAATCAACCATGCGGTCCTGTTCCACAGGCTGAGGATGTGTGGTATTGGTGGCGCACTGCACCAGTGGATCAGTGACTTCCTTATTGGGAGAAGATAGCATGTACATGTGGATGACCACCTAACGGACTGGTACCCCTCCACCAACGGTGTGCCCCATGGCACAGTACTGCAACCCATTTTATTCCTGGTCTACCTAAACGAAGTGCCTCAGCTCTTTCGGTCGCCTTGTACACTGTTTGCAGACGACTTGAACATTTGGAGGGTTATTGATTCTCCTGACGACTGTGGCGTCCTTCAGTAGGGCCTCGACGGCCTATGCAGGTTGTCTACAGAACTTGACCTGCCGGTCAACCCGGCCAAGTCCTCATTTATGAGTCTGGGTGAGGTGGTAATATGTGCGTACACATTGGCCGGCAACCCGTTGCATCCCGCCGGTTCCGTAAAGGATATAGGCGTTCTCTCATGCTGTGATCTGTAGTCTGTCGATCACACGAACAGACTGTACGCAAACGGACTACGCCTGCTTTGGGCACTTAGACGTAGCTTTTGAACTTGGTCTGAAGAGATTGCCACCCCTCTTTTCTCTTCAATAATAAGACCGGTGCTTGAGTATGGCTCACCCGCCTGTTGTCCGATCACAATAGATGAGGTTCAAAGACTGGAACGGGTCCAGTATGTAGCTCTCTGGCTGATCCCCAATTTACGGGGTATGTCGTACAATGACCGAGGTAGGAGACTAGGGCTGTATACCCTGTCATATCGTTGTCTTCCAGTTGATCTCATAATGACGCACCGCATATTGTACCTGGGCCACTTCCCTATGTTAAAGGCGTTGCGGCACGCTCGCACACCAAGCAGCACACGCGGACACCGGCACAAACTAGTGGTACCGGATTTAAAGCGCATCGCTCACCCTCTATGCTTTGAGAGTCGAGTGGTGAAATATTGGAACAAGTTCCTGGAGATGCTACTCGAGGTGAAATCGGTGTCGGAATTTAAGAGATTCCTCGATGCCTACTTTGCGGACTACAGATATAAGGAGCGTATCGCACCCGGATACGATGTAGTGCAGCCGCAATATGTTGCCACAACGCAGGAATCAGCGACTTGATTCCGTGCATGTTCCAGATCCACCTACGATAGAGCAACAGATATTTCTCGTTCTCAGTATTCAGTGTTCAACCATGACAGCCGTGGCTGAAGCGGGATCTCACGACCTTGGAAATGCTCCAACGTCGGTCTACTAAAAGCGTCAAAGAGCTATGCCACTTACCTTATGAACATTGTCTGACTAATTTGAGAGTCTTCAGTGGACACTATCGGCGTTTGTGTGGTGATCTTATCATTGTTTACCATATGTTAAGCAACCGAATTACCTTATACTATCAGCTGTTGAAACTCAGCCATAACAATTGACTGAGAGGATACCAACTCAAACTAGTAGAACAATACAGATGGCAAGATGGTGGACTTGAATCTCTTCTCGCTACGTGTTTGCCACATATGGAATTCACTTCCGGAATACGTTTTCTCAGCCCGTACATCAGCTACGTTGAAATATCTTTTCCATAGTACGCTGGTCGCGTTACCTCACATACATGAATCGCACGCACATTCAGAAAACGAAACCGAATTGACGCACATCCGTTTTTCAGGGACATCCAAGCTGCATAATACCATATGTGAACAATTCAGGTGGACAAAGTTTTGCTGGACAATTTCATTGTCCTCTGCCATTCTATGTTTATGGTTCTTTTTAAAAAAAACCCGACCGCCTATTCTTTGACACTTGTTAAGCGTTGGTTTTTTTATCCGCATTGTGTCACTGCCTCACTTCGTATGTGCAAGCTTGTGATGAGCCACTGTCTACAGAGTTTAGCGTGACAACTAATACCCGGGAGCAGAGCTTGGTAACCTGTTACTTGATGCAAATGATTTTCCCCCTGAAACTGATATCACTTTCTGGAAATGGTGGATCGAACTCCTCGTACTCATTCCTCACATGCTGCCCATCTACTACGATGCTCACCAGCTACCATCATTTACCTAATTGTAGTTAGTTTGTGTCGTACGGTCTAGTTTTTCAAGGTGTTTGCTTCTGATAGGCTTGTTTAGGTTCGCACCTCCCGGACTCGAGAAATGACACCGAATTTCCGCTCTGGTCATCTAAAGACGACTAACATCAATCTATGTGGCAGTGTGAGGTGGTCCAACCTAATTCCAAAACTAGACACATGAGCTCTTGCATTTTCTCCAAATTGTCGGAACAGACAGCATGAACTTAATCGGTTTGATTTTGTACCTTTATGTGCTAATGCTGGTCTTTTTCTCATTTCAATATTACGCGGCATAGAGTACTCAGTAGGAGCATGTAGCCGTCCGTTCAACCCTCATGTACGATTGTGAAACCTGACCCATTAGATCTACCGACATAAAGAGGCTAGTCACTTTCCACCATCTCTGCCTTTGCAACTTAGCTTATGTCTGATGGAAACACCGCATGAGCAATGAGCGTGTTCGGCGTCGTATGTTTGATGTGGGAAGGTCAAGTGAACCGCTCAACACCATTATATCAAGCACCAGGCTCCGATGGCTGGGCCA